TGATTCTTTATTTCGTATTTGATTTTCCCCTTATAAATGGATGTGTTGATTTAAATGCATTGAATATTGCTTTTAAATAAAATAATTGTACATCTGTCTTACATTAGTTAAACGTGATTTCTTATGTTTTCTGTCACACAAGAAAATATAAGAATTACATGATGTCAACGCATCATATATGAATAAGCAACCACTTAAATAAGCGTTCGTGTTCAAATATCGAGTAGGAAAGGGGAAATATGGTGAGAGAAAAGGAAAAAATAACCTCGTTATGAGAATATCTTATTACATAATCAAAGTTCAATCAAAATGTTTTGCAAAATCATATTTGAATAAATGTCAATGTCTTCAATGTCGAACACTGAGAATCGCTTGAAAAATTAGTTTGATCACATGACCTAAATAATATTAATCACGTGATATCTGAGTTAACCAAAACGATATCTTGCGATTTAACTTTGAATTTTTCAGATATAGGAAGTATTTTCGGTGTTCATAAAGATTCTTTCTATCGGTTGCTAAGCCATCATCGCAGTATTGACTTCCCTAATGTGTTTTTTTCCTCCATAGTTTAGATCTTTAATACCTAGACAGCCCTATTGCATGCTCTATCTTATCTTCTCGCCGACGTTTGAGATTACGTTGCCATAGTAACTTCATTGCGAAAAACCTAGTGTTTTATAATTCCGTATGAAAGACAAAACAAGCGACATCCAAACTTCATCCTTGACATAAAATTGCTTTTATAGTTTCTACCTTTTGACGTAAAAATGACGCTCGCTTGAATCCTTAATTATTTTCGGTTACTACTTCATCAGTAAGCTTACATATAATAGTTCTAATAAATATTGACTATTTATACGCGTAGTACTAGCCTAGACCTCGTTTAAATCATACATGTGAGAGTAATATTAGAAACAAGTTAAATGGGAGGTTTTGGCTCTAAGCCCAAAGGGATTTCTCAGTTTGTTACCTGAGAGTGCACATCAAAAAWGATGAGACAGACTGTTAGCCGCCGTTATGACAATTTCTCACTTATTCAAAGGACTAAGATAAATGGCTTCATTTACTACACCAACTCGCTGGCTATATTGAATAATTACTATTAATAAACTGATATACATTAGGGGGAAATTTGGTTAGAGAAACCTTCCTATGAAAAAATATGCAGCGACGGTTAATTGTATGTCTTCTTTCATTTGAATAAGACGCGTGTAAATCATCATTTTATGGGATAAAATTATTGTTAACATTTTCACACTTCTTTGTTAGACTCTATCATTCTTCACACTTCCCTGCTAGCAGAGCCTATTTTCCTTTTGTTTTGGTTGAGAGAGAAAAATACTCTGCCGATGTAGGACGTTATTTCTGTCGCGCATGCGTGGCGTAACTTAGCAACGCTGTCATGATTTTGACAGCCGCTCTCGTCAAACAATTTTTGGCGCCACGGTGTGTTACATTTGCTCATGCGCACTACATGTAATCGGTTAAAAACCGGTTTTAAAACTGGTTTTGTTCGTCCACAATGGTCTCCTTCCTCCCCGCCTGAAAGAAGGGAGAGAAAGAGAAGAGAGACTCTGCTAGCAGGGAACCTTGACAGCACAATATCATCACCAATATAATCATCATTATCATTATTATCAAAGATCTGTTATCATTCGTCCTACATTTATCTCTTATCATTATATTATCTGAGTGTGTTCGCCAATGACATGCCACTTTAATAAGATCAACAATCCACTGTAGTCTTGGTCTTGTATCATCTGAAGTTAATACATGACAATCAATTGGCATATGAAATCCTGTCTGTCTGTCCGCAGCCATCTGTCCATTATCACTCATATATATCTGTTCCTCCAAGGTTTTATCAGGGGAAAAGAATAACCACCCTCGCTTTTTAGTCCTACGGCCATTGCGTTTCTAATTTTAGATTATCCTGGTTCTATATTAAGAAGATCAATAAAGCACGCAGGTTGACTACATAGACTACGCGAGGAGCCAGAACTGTTTCTCCGCCTCTATTCTGTAGGAGTTGAGGAATGCATGCTTAGCCACGCGAACAGATGGTCGATAGGCTTGTTTGTTACATAAATTGAACATGAACATGATGCATTAATGTGTGCGCACACAGGCTAAAGTCATGCACCATTTAAGAGTATATGAATGTCTTTAATTTTGGTGCAACTATTTTTGGAGTGCAACCACGTGACCGAAAAACCCTTGAAATATAACTAACAATAAACCAGCCGCCATCTTGGTTGATCTAACGAGAGAAGCTTAATGAAGAATGCTTTGTATTGTATAGTCAACCAACATGGTGGCTACTGAAAAATCCTTTGAGATATTATAAATAACAATGAACCGGCCGCCATCTTGGTTAATCTAACAAGAGAAGCGTAATGAGGAATTCTTTGTATAGTCAACCAACATGGCGGCTATGACGTAACCTTTACGTCATAGCCACCATGACGACTATTCCTAATTACACTGATATCGAGGTGGAAATACGTGCGAGTGGAAATCAGTAGAATAGAGTTCTATTCCCATCCATAACAAAGTAACGCCTTATGCACAAAGCATCTTATGAAACCCTGTAAGTCCACAAGTCTTCAAGTAAAAGCAGGATGCCAAAACAACGGTCTAAAAATAACCATACGTCTTGTGAGTGACACATTTCTCATATTCAAAACCCCCCTCAGAGGCATCACAAAAAGAYAAGAAAATAGACTCTACTAGTTGCTAAGGAAGTTACATTGTCTCCTGAATGACATAACTCTTTCTTACGTTTGCTTCATTGTAACGTAGCTCTATATCTCACAATACCATCGACTCCAAAAGATTATTGCCAGCACGTACCAAAATAATCGCCTCCATCGATAAATTATTTAGAATCTATGGTTACTACGCTTCACGGAAGTCTTTGAGGCTCTAAGGCCATCATGGTAACAACGCGGCATGACTCACTATTTTATTTTACAATAGTTTCCGCTAGCAATGATGGTAATTCTCAACGCAAAGTCATTCTGTATTTACATGTGAATTGGTTTTTGATTGGATTTAATTGTTCTATGAGAAAAGCTTCAGAAGATTTCTGGCAGCGTTTTTTAGTTTCCTTAGTACCTTACACATTAGAGATTGAGTTTTCTCATAGTACTAGCAAAAGTCTCATCCATTCACAATGGTTTCCCATTTCCAATTCCAGACACGTGTCATTCCCAAAGAAATAATTTTCAAAATAATGAAGAATAAGAGAGCATGGAATAGAATTATTAGTTGCAAATCACATCAAATGGAGTAGCAATTTAAATTAATTTTTTTAAGCAAAAACATTTTTTGATTAATTAGTTTTGTTTTACAATTCGTTTTTTCGTCTACTAATATCTTAGATTTCCACATCGTAAATGATTTCAATTTTGTGCAATGTCTTTTTCAAAACAATTTTCATTAAGATCCCCTCTAGAAATCCCCCTTATGAGCTATTCATTGAATATTAAAATGAATGGCTTTCAACCTCTCTCTCTTTCTCTTTCTCCCTCTCCCTCTCTCTCTCTCTTTTAAGAAGGTTGGCAAGTCGATCTACGGTTTAAAACAAATTCGAGATTTTGTTCCAATTTCTACCCTTATTACAATGTATAAAGCATTAATACAGCCCAAGTTTGACTACTGCGACCTTGTTTGGAGCAATTTGAACAAGGGTCAAGCAGAACGTCTTCAAAAGCTTCAAAACAGAGCTGCTCGCATCATAACCTATCAGGGTTATGATGTGAGGTCTGCTGACATTTTGCAACAGTTAAACTGGGACAAATTGAAAGAAAGACGAGAGGAAAGACTGTGTTCATTCATGTTTGACGTTCTCCATGAAAATTGCCCATCGTATTTAAGCAATTTATTTAATATGAGGTCCTCGGATTCGAGCACCTATAGATCTAAATTAAGAGGGAACGATCAAATTGAAATACCATACATCCCAAAAACAGACTTTTTCAGGAGTAGCTTTTATTACAGAGGGGCTAAGATGTGGAACTCTCTCCCCTCTGAAATTAAATCTGCTCCAACAAAGAATGAATTTAAAAAACGTCTGATGAGATGGCGTGCTGTCAGTTCTCAGTAGGATTTTTTTTTCTCTTTGTTATTTAAATCATTTCTAATATTTTTCAACTTTTTAGGATTATATATTTATATTT